GCCGTTGCAGAGTATAAACGCAGTCTCAGGCCAGAAGGTTGTGGCAAGGTTTGCGACAGAGGATATGTTACTTTCTATTTCTGTACTAAACGGTCGTAATCACTGTATGGATCTGCGAAAGAATTAACAACGAGCCACACTACAGTTTTCTATCTAAAGGTTTCCAATGTATAATCAGCATGTTACTGAACTAGTTCAAACAGCAAAATAAAGATTGGAAGAATCATTGTGATAACGTACCACATCTCTTCTTGCTTTGTGCACAGATGTTTGCACCGCAGATCTGTATTCTGTTGGATAACCAATAAGCCTCGCTGAGCAAAGCTGAAAAAAGCAAGTTCTGATTATGCAAAAACTTTCATCGCGTTGAAGACAACACATTAAAGCCTAAAAGCAGTCGTCACTCAGAGAAGCAAGGCGGCAGACAATAGTCATACGTAAACGCGTTTCAAGTGCGCACTTTCAATGACGTAGCCTCGCAGAAACAGCAAGCTTCGTTTATACTTTGCCACTCGGCGAATAGGATAATCGGCGACTTGACGTTTTGCGAAAGCATACGCGAAAGAAGAGCACGAGCATTGATCTGACTACTCGGGAGCAAACGAGAGTAAGAGCACTAGCGATCCGAAATTTTGGAAAGAAGCGCGCCAACATAGATATAATCGATCGATTTTTGTCGTGAGCGCGTTCTTCCAATTCGCAGATTCTCTGCTCTCCTAGGTCACTAGCGACCGGAGTCGATCCATTCCCATCTGCTCCTTTGGCACGCAATCGACGAATCGCAAATTTCCCTAATTCTCTAATTTCACTCGAGTCGCTAAGTGTGTATGCGGAGTTAACCGTTCGAGTTGCTCGCGACAATATGTCGGTACATTTCGGGGCTGCTACTGCGTGATTGCACGTTGCGCCAGCACATCAACGTACTCACCCAATATCAGCAACCACTAAACTCTGAGCCAAGAGAGAGAAACCAATGTAAGTGCTCAGGCACGGTTACAGTCTGCGATCCTGAGAAACTGGAGAAGGGAACGCTTGAGCGAAAAGGTCGATAGGCAGTTCGGCGTAAGGAGCGGGTGAATCCGGCGTTTTCGCGAAAAGTTTAGAAGTATCGACCTGGAGAATCGGCGTTTCGCCCGCGTGTAACGCATGGAATTATTAGACGGACTCAGCAAAATCAAGCGGGGGGGGGGCAAAAACTTTCATCTTCCTTGATTTCGAAGACCGCTATAAGTTACACATTCATTGAATTCTTATCATCACCGATAACGTCCGCCCCTTTCTAGAGGAGCGCCATCGACTGCCGTCAGTGGGTGCCTGAGTTCAGCGAGATCGTTGATTTCTCCGCCACTGTAGACCACCCTATTGAACTCCGCCCGAACCAGGTAATTGAGGGGGTTTAGGTCAGGTGACCTGCTTAGATATTCACCTTCTTCAGGTACTCAACGCCCTTCCATTCCAAGTAGGCAAGGTTTTCCTCACGACCTTTTCGATTCCATGTGGCTGTCCACGCAATCCTGATAGTAGACAAGTTTCAAGAAGGTACGAGGCGACGGCATTTGAGGGATATTCTTCTCGAGCTGTGCGATGTAACGCCAGCGTCTCACCTTCACCCACGAAGACCATATCAGTCTTTCCAGTCAGGTACGTCGGTCACCATAAAACTGGCGCCTTGGCGACTGAGGTGAAGATGATGTCCTAGACCGTAGCGACGTTGACGGAGCTGCTCGATGATGGAGGTCTTCCAGATCGAGAGTACTGCTCTCCAGGTAGCTATCCATGGGTGACTCCATCTAGAAGTTTCGCAGCTGTTTGGAGGTGACATGAATTCCAAAGGTCTTCTCCAGTCAGGCTGCGACTGGAGTGACTTCATTATTTATTAGTGTACAGAAAGCTGTATGAGTGAAGAGACCAGCTCACTGCTACTCGAGAGGAATATCTTGGGTATCCTCCGCCCTTGTACTCGTATCCATTTCCTCTGTCTAGGCTGCGAAAACTTTGCTGATATGTCACTCGGTCAAAATGTCTTTTTTTTGCCCACCAGCCCCTGTAGTACCCAGCCTTCTTGACCATGCGCTTGTATTAGCATGCGACTGCGTCGAATTCGCCAGGCATTTCGTCAGAACGCTTCGATTGTTCCCCCAACCGACAGCCATTTCTCCGATTGGCCAGGGTCTCATGCTACAACCAAGGCCTTATGAAATGAACACATAACGAATCAACGAAATTCATTGACTTACATAGCCTTACCTTCACATTTGTCAAAGGTAATAACTGACTTACCCTCATTTTCGCTGACAACAATGAACTATAACGATGGCTAATGCTTGCGGGACTGTGTCGAGGCAGGATTTCGGCAATTTTTATCCACTGGCCTTAATTTATGTTCTGTTCAACAACGTAATAGATTCACAATACTAACGGACATCACTTCATCCACCCGACTGAGGGCCACTAAGTTAAATAATGAACACTCGACGTCATACTTCGAGATCTCGCCGGTTTGGATCGCACGATCCATGACGAATAGCGTCCACCGCCTATTGGTAGGCGCCTCAACGGGCAGAATCAAATATGAACGCGTCAAGCCATCGCTTGAGGAGCTCATCTTGAATTCTGCCATTGCCGCGACACGAACAATGCGTGGAGCGCTCCGGTCGTGAGTCCGCGCATTCAATCGCTCGATTCCGATCACGATGCGAGCGATGCCGATCGAAAGGAGTACTGAACGCGCCTAATAGCTGTAAATTTGGCATGTTTTCTCGCCTGCTTGATGGATCTTTAGAGCAAAGTTATACCGCCAACAGTTCAGTAATGAGTTAGGACTTATAGGAACCCGTCTGTACGTACCTCGTCCAAAAACTTGAACCGCCCAAAACCAGACGTTCATCTTCTTCAGGTGTCCAGTCACCGGCAGTATAGGTACACTTGTCCAACACATTACACCACCTAAAATCAAACGTGATGCTCTATCGTACATCAAGGACTGAAGCCAACATACCGCTCTCTGCATTGGCCATCTGAAACGTCCTACTACAGCCTTTGCTACCTTCGCCCCCCCCCCCCCCCCCCCCCCCCCCCCCCCCCCCCCCCCCCCCCCCCCCCCCCCCCCCCCCCCCCCCCCAAAAAAAGAAAAAAAGTTTGGGGCTTTTTCGTTTATGTACGCGTCCGCGGCTTGTTTATTCTTTTTGTTTTCGGGGGGGCGGGCCGGGGGGGCGGGAGGAAGGGGGGGGGGGGGGGGGGCACAAAGCGAGCGACAGCTGTCATTAGCAGCTAAAACATAGCAGATAATGAAACCAGTTTCCAGGAGGTTAAAGACAAGTGCTCTTAGTCAGCGTTCCGTAAATGAAGCTACATGAATGTGATAAGAGCAGTGGTTAAATATGGTTGGGGCACAGTTGACGCAAATCGTATCGCTCCGTTGCTGATGAAAGCCCGAGCTTACCGAGATGCATTGTTTGCGTACGAGTCGATCCCAGGTGACCTTTGATTCGGCGTCGAAGCGATAAGTCTTGTCTGGGAAGGGATACCGGGGGTACTCCAAATTCAAGCACGCACCGAGCGGGAGGACTTTACCCTAATCCGTATGACCGACTAGGGACACCTGCACTTATGTGCAGTTGCGTCTTACTAGGGAAGGTCGTCAGGTCGAAGTGGCCATTTGTAATGAGATGTAGCTCACTAGACGTGGTTTTGGACGCTGATCTCGAATCTGCCTTCGAAATTTGCAGAACGATTCTCTGAACGGAATTATGAAGGTTTGTTAGAATTAAAATGAAGGAAACAGAGTCGAGCGCGGTTGCCGGCCAGTTCGCATGAATAGCCGGGAAGCACCTTTACGATCAACGGCGGCATGGTGTAGTGACAAGGGTCTTGCTTTGCGGGCATGTTATGAAGGTACGACATTTCTGGACCAGGAACTTGTTTTGCATTTGTGGGGAAGTCCGTTTTAAGTCTCAGAAAACACTCAAACCCAAATGGGGCCAGACGTGTTCACGGAGCAAACTACCCTTGGAACAGTTTTCTAGCTAGAGGTGAGGTTTGATCTACTGTGACAAAGGGCGTAGCAGTTGAGTCGAATGCATTGGTCACAATAGTTCCAGGCGCCAGCCTCTTGTTCCGCGAATGCTTTCTTTGGAGAGAATTTGCTTTCTAGATACCGGAAAACTGGAGCGTAACACACATGAATGCGATAAGACGGCGTGAGACGAGGCCTTGTGTAGGAGAATGTATCTGCAGCTGAATAGGTGTGAACATCAACTGAACTAACCCATGGATGCTTCACTTTTCGAAGTCAGGTCAAAATGCCAGATTTGGCTAGAAACCTCTACCTAGGCGGAGTTCGCCCCGATAAACACGAATATGGCACTCGCTCAGCGCGAAAACGCCTGCACTCCGCGCCAAGGGCACCTGTACATCCAAAAATTCTCCTAGATCATAAGGCACAGCGCGCCAGTAAGCGACACGCAAACTGTTTTTCAGGCAGTCAAGAGAGAGGCTAATGAAGTAGTCGACGCTACACACTTCTTTGCCACGTTTGCAGGCAGAGACAGCAAAAAAGTTAAGCTCCAGAGGCGGATCCGAGCCACGACCCTGATAGTGGTAAAACGCGCTGGAAAAAAGCTCCATAACTCCGTTCAGAGAATCGTTCTGCAAATTTCAAAGGCAGATTCGAGATCAGCGTCCAAAACCACGTCTAGTGAGCTACATCTCCTTACAAATGGCCACTTCGACCTGACGAATCTTCAACCTAGCTTAGCATCCCAACCTTTCACGCATGATAGGCGGCACCACATTACGAAATCTTCCCCTGTAAAGGCTCATCACGACTAACGTTATAGAGCAATGCAGTCGGTAAGAGGTGGAACTCAGGCAAGAGCGCTGTGAAGATCAAACTTTTCGGAGTTTGCAGCAAACAGCGTAATTACTGGGAAGAAAGAGTTTGTGTACGGGATGAAATCTACAGCATGGGTCACAGCCAGCCTATGGAGCGGATACGCCTGCATCAGAATACTACTGAAAGGCTGCATTACACCAACCAAGTCTCATGATCCGTCAGCGCTCCATGACGAACGTTTTCATCGAGCGTGCGCTGATATCTTGTTCGAACTTGCTGGCGATGACGTCCAGGCATGTAAAAGGTCACTGAATCGTCTAGTATTAGCTTCAAAACAGGCATGTCACTAGACTAGTTCTTGTAATAATCATGCCCAACCTTTGTCCCACTGAACCACTCCAATTAACAGT